CGTTCTTGATTTGGTGGATATTGGTAATGGCAGATACCACAACAAAACACCTTGATCAGCACATTGCATTTCTATTTGTTTTCACAACCAAAAAGAAGAGATGACAAAGAGAAGTGGCTTTTCAGGGCAAATGAGACTGGATTGTGAGACGAAAGAGAGTAGAAGCGCGATATAGAAATGATTTTGTTCTCTCTTTTTGGGACCAGAGGATAAAGTACAGGGAGATGTGTCACTGACTGTAAAATCTTAACATTGACCGGACTATCAGGGTTAGCTTTGTCATTAAAAAATTTATGGTCTAAGGAGACAATTTCTGTCATGATTTTTTTTTGATAATTAGCAATTTCTGTCATGATTAATAACAGTAATCTAATGGCAGGTGAGTGTTAGATAAAATAATTCTCTGATAGGGGGTCTCGGGACTCGGGGGGGGGTGTTCAAAAGTGAGGGTGAGTTTAAGAGGATTGAAGTGAAGGAAGAGTTTTAGCTAATAACCTCAAATTGGGGTGCTTCTGAGAAGTGGAAGATGAAAGGTTTGGTGGAAGTTAATCTAGGGAGAGTCCTATTTTCCTATGTTGAAGCTACACGGCATTTGTCTCAAGAAGAGGCTTCAAGATTTCATGATGTGATAGTATGAAGAAAGGATGGAACAGGTGGTTTGGTTGAAAGAAATAAAGAAATTTTAAATGGGAATCCCCCCCAAAGAGAGGATCGATTTAAACGATTGTGGTCCATTTGATTTTATGAAAGTTGGGCTGGCATATGATTATTTAGAGTCACATGCCAACAAGTTACACTTTTAAGAGGTTGAGGCTCCTTAAGGAAAGAGGTATGTTAAGACAATGAATATAAGCAATGGTTCAAGGTGAAGGCTATAAAGGGGGAAAAGGAATAAACATAAACGATCATTGGAGCATACTTGTTCCAAGTAGGGGAAAGGGGGATTTTGATTATTGGGAATGGGTTATTACCAGGTTTGTTTGTGTTCTGAGGAGGTTTTGATTTTTGAAGGACATGAATGGAATAAAGCTTTTATAAATGATGGGGCTTTACAGGTATCAAAGGTAAATCATGTCAACACACCCTTGGTTTCAGCTGCAATAGAAGAGGTAAATTTTCAATACCAGGACTTTTTTTTTGGAAAAATTAAGGTAAATTTATTCAAACAGAAAAGGAGAACATTACAACAAAACCCAGGCCAAAAAGCTGCCTGAGCGTGGATCAGATTACAGACTCATCCAAGACTGAGAACAAAACAAGTGAGCCAAATCTGATGCCTAAACTCCTCAGTAATCGACACCCAAGAGATCAACATGCCCACAGCTCTCTGCACTAACTCTTTAGGGCTTTTAGCTCTACTGCAGAAAATTCTATTATTTCTCTCAGCCCAAATAAACCACAAAACAGCTGCAGGAATGGTCTTCCATACTAATTTTCCTTTCTTGTTGAGACCTTCCACTCTCCAACAATACAGCAGTTCCTTGACTGATCTTGGCATAACCCAACTAATACCCAGAGCCTTCAGGAAATGTCCCCACACCATTGTGGAAGTCGGGCAGTGAATGCACAAGTGATCTGTAGTTTCTGAAAGAGAACCACACAGCACACAAGAGGGAGTCCAGAACCTGAATGCCATATCTCTCCAGATTAGCTCTAGTCAAACATTTATCAAGAGCCATTGTCCAAACAAGAAAGTGGTATCATAGTGGTAGTAGTAGTAAGGAGGTGGAGATGGGACTGGGTTCAATTTCAGGAGGATCAGCAAAGGTGGACGGTTTGGAGAGCTATTCTTCATCAGCCTGTATTTCTGATGAGTTGATGACAGTTGAGATTGTTATGTCAGGGGTTGAAACTCAATAAGACAGTGTTGTTGATCCAAGGAAGAGTAGGATCTATTTTGGGAATGCTTCTCTTCAGGAGGATGTCTTTGAATCTGTTATGGGCTATGGGGATTGACATGCTTGTGTTAGGGAATGGATGTGGTGATCTGGATGGGGAAAAAGGAGCTGAGAACTCCATGGATTTTGGAGGTTCATGTGATGTAGAGATGTTGGATCCATATCTGTTACCCAAGTGTTTATTGGTAAACTGAGGGTGGATTTAGGGAGGAAAAAGGATGCTCATTTAATCGAAGGAACTAGAAAAGGTGATAGATCTTTGGTGAACTTGAAAAAACCCTAAGGTTTAAATAATGGTCAGTTAGTTCACGTTACCAATGTTTTTCCATTGGTTGAAGGAGGATCTTTTAGGAGTTGGCCCTTGTAGTAAGTTCAAGAGGGTCTATAAGAGGAAGGGGGCGAAGGTCAAAAATAGAAATCAGAGCTATGCTTGAAGAAGCAGTGTTTTGGATTTATTGAAGAAAGAGGTGGGGAAGATGAAGTTGGGACTAAATTCTAATGCTCAAAAAGATGTTATTTTAAGAGAGGGTGAGCTTTTGGGGGTTGGAGGATGAAGACAAAGAAAAGGACGTGGAAGGAGAATAGGAAAATGAGGTGATTGTTGATCAAGTGAAGAAGAAAGAGAATGTGGAGAGTATTGATGTATTCTATTTTTATAGTCCCTGCTGTATCGTATTCTATTCTTTTATTTTTTCTCTTTCATCCCTATAAGGCCTTTCTTGTAATCTACTAGCCCCATAAGGGTTTTCTTGCAATTATGCATAATATAATAAAGGTTCTTTGGGGGTGGGGGTCAATTCATTCATTTTGACACCCCTGGAACCTTGTATTTAGATTCTCCTTGGTTCAGCTTGTTGTCAGAAAATAAAGTGAATTTGGAAAAGAAAAAATGTTGGGGTTATTTTTTTTGGGAGGGGAAGAATTTGCAAGAAAAAACTTTTTTTTGGAGCTAGAAAAGAAGTCTTTTTGGGCATGTGGAAAGATCTGGTGCAGAGAGTTGAGTAGTGAATAGTTGTTGATTGGGTCATGTCATTAGCCGAGGCGTAGGGGTTGATTCTTGTCCTCTTGTGATGGTTTTGGGTTTTGGCAGCAAGGTCTTTTGATGGCTTAAGGTTTGGGAGGGGAAAAGCTTGTATACCAAAGGTTTTCGAGGCCCTGGTGCTTGGGCACCTTCTTGTAACTTCCTTTAAAATTTTTCTTATTTTAATTACCAACAAATGAAGAAGATTTTTCATAAGGGAGTGGTTCCAATTCATTCTTGGCTCAATTTGATAAACCTTTTAGAACTGTCCCTCACCAAGTGTATTTTAGCCATGAAACTCTTATTGTATAGATTTAAGTGGAATAGTTGAAAGTGCCTTGTCTGAATTGGTATATCTTCGTTGTATAGCTTCTCACTGTGTATGAGCTATACTTGTATATGTTTTTTCTAAAGTTCATCTTACCTTAAAAAAAAGAGTTCGTCATGTCTTTAAATGCTTCTTCACTTGGATTGTTAAATTGCCCTTTTTCTTATTTCCCTTACGCTTTTTTATCTATATGTAAAGGGAGAATGGGGAGTATCTTCTGCCTTGTTTATGGAAATACCTAGATGGTTCATCCGATTATGAACAGGATTGCCGTGGAGAACTACATATAATGAACATTGAAACTATGTCTACATTTAAAGAATTATTGCATTACAAATTGTTTAAAGAATAACTGCTTAGAAGGTCCATGGAAAATGTTTCTAGGAGCTATTTGATACCTCTGTCCTGTGTTCTGCTTATTTAGTTTTTCTTTTTTCTCAATTCTTAATGAATTCATTTTGGTCAATGTTCTGATTTTTCTACCTGTTTTGAGTGTTATAGGTTTCTTTTCTAAGCTTTGAGATTTGTGTGCTTTTAGTGTTATCAAATGCCCATTGTGCCATGTTCACATGATACTTGATCTTTGTATTTCTGTTTATTGGTGGATTTTGAAATTAAAAGATGGTTATTGGTAGAAATGATCATTCAAATTGAAAATCTCGTAAAGCTATACTTGTTATTAAAAATCAGAAAATAAAAAAACAATGTTTTGTCTGTTCACTAGTTGGTACACAATGAGTTTGAAATTTGAAATTATTATACTTGCATATTTCACTGAGTGGCTTGGATTTGGAACATTGGTCTCATACGAATTTTTCTGTCCTTTTTCCTTTTTCTATTTGTTTGTATTGTATTTATGAATTGCTATTCTGATAGAGAATGGAACAACAATTGGGCTTCATGCCTCCCTATTTTTGTGACTTTGTTTATATTGGATTGAGATGTTGTCATTTATATTTGGAATGATTATGGGCTGTGTCTTTTCCATTTTGGAACCGAGACAGTTGAAATCAAGAGTAGACTGGGTTTTGAGGCGATGCCCTGAGACTACAAGCATGTCCGTAGATCCTAGTGTACCATTGGCATTTTTGCAAGACGATGCTTCATCACATTCAGAAGAGAACGTGAACATGTTAGATGGACACAACAAGCGCCAGTTTGTAACACCACCAAGTTCGGGCCGTCGCAAGAGAAATCGTAAGGGAACTGGTGATGCTATAGTAGATGCTATGTTAGAGATAGCAGCAGCTTCAAGGTTGAGGGCAGCTGCAATGATGAAGAAGGATGATCGTTTCTCTATAAGCAATTGCGTGAAAATATTGGATGATATGGAAGGCATTGATCAACGCCTTTACTTTGTTGCCTTGGATCTATTTGAGAATCCCAATGCCAGGGAAACATTTATATCTCTTAAAAGCGAGAAGCGATTGACATGGCTGCAGGGGAAGTGCAACACTCCTTCTGGTTCTGTTGTGTGAGGGGCTTAGTGGACTATGTTTTCTTTTTAGTTTTGGAATTTATATGTTGTGGTCTATATGGCCATATTGGATTTCACCAACACTACACTGTTTTTGTTTAACTATATGGTTGTGCTCTGATGCTTATATTATGAATGAATGATATTAACTTGTGCCCTTTTTTCAATGGAAAAAAAATATTACATGTGAGTGAATGCTACCAAGTGGGACTAGTTTTTATTGTCTAAAAATGTGCCCTGTGTTGCATGTTTTATATGTTGATTCTATTGGTACAGATATATATTAAGCTGATATGGATGACAATGACATAGAACTGGATGAGATGGAATTAGTTGCAGCAGCTGCTGGCTATTACTATTATAATCATATTTGTAAGCAGCCATCTCGTAGTTCATCCCTTAACAGATCTGAATTTATGGATGAAGTCTTAAATGATAATGATGATCGATGTCGTGAAATGTTCCGGATGGATAAACATGTCTTTTTTAAGTTGTGTGACATTCTTCGACGGAGAGACCTTTTACATGATACCGCTGGTGTTAGGATAGAAGAACAGTTGGCCATATTTTTAAACATCATTGGCCACAACGAGCGTAATCGAGTCATACAGGAACGCTTTCAACACTCTGGTGAAACCATCAGCCGGCATTTTAACAATGTACTGAAAGCAATCAACTCACTGTCACGGGAATTTTTGCATCCACCACAGACCACAACTCCACCGGAAATCCTCAACAATTCTAGATTCTATCCCTACTTCAAGGTTTGTTTCCAATAGTAAACTTATTTTATCAGTTGGTATTTCTTTCTTTCTTTATTTTTTGTTCTAGAAGGAAAACACTTAAAGGGTTTGTTTCCAATAACAAGTATCTTTAGCAGTTTGTATTTATCGTGTTCATATATTCACTTTACATCTTTGTCCTCAGGATTGTATTGGAGTGATTGATGCTATGCACATCCCTGCACATATCCCTGCCAAAGATCAATCTCGATTTCGTAACAGGAAGGGTGTTCTGTCGCAGAATGTATTGGTGGCTTGCACTTTTGATCTGCAGTTTATATTTGTCTATCCTGGTTGGGAAGGTTCAGCTGCAGACTCACGTGTATTAAGAGCTGTCCTTGATGATCCAGATCAGAATTTCCCCCACATTCCTGAAGGTTCTGCTTTTCTTTATATGTTTATTCATATTTTGTATAGTTCATTTTCATCTTATTTATTAATAGATCATTTTTAACAGGTAAATACTACCTTGTGGATGCGGGTTACAGGAACACAGTTGGATTTATTGCACCATTTCCAGGAGTTAGGTATCACCTTTATGAATTTAAAGGTGCTAATCAGCAACCAAGAAATGCAATGGAGTTATTTAATCACCGACACTCGTCACTAAGAAATGCAATCCAGCAGTCTTTTGATGTTTTGAAGGAACGGTTTCCTATTCTGAAATTGGCCCCTCAATATGCATTTCGTATTCAAAGGGATTTGGTTATAGCTGCATGTGTTATACATAACCACATCCGGCGAGAAGGAAGAAATGATTGGTTATTTACCAGCTTTCAGAGGAGGACTGCAGAAGAATATGAGATCGATCAACCTGAAGTGGAGTTGACTCAAACCTTCCAGGAACAAATTGCTTTCTCACAACGGGAGTTGATTATGGCCGCAATGTGGAATGACTTCCTAAATGAATGGAAGGATTGGTGATTGGCAATGCAGTGTTAAGGAGGTACTGCTAGCCTCTTCTTGTAGGTCTTACAGGAACTTGCAGTTGCTTCTTGGTTACAATTTGGAGCTATATTGCCTTTTGTTATGACTTAGTAGCTATATACTTTGTTCTTCTCTGAATGTTTTGTTTTTGATAATTTTCGCATTGTAGTTTGCCAATTTTTTGCTTAATGTAATGACGTAAGATGCATGTTGTAGGAAGTAGATTACTAAACATTTAGTTCTGAATTTCTTATGTTTTAGCATTGTCTATATGGATATTTCCTGATATTTGAATTTTGAGAAGTACCTGCCCTCATGTTTTAGTGATTCTTTTATTTTATATTTTGATAGATTTTTAGTGATTCTTTTATTGCAAACTAGTACTTTACAAACAGTTAAGGAAGCACTAGAGACAGAAGAGTTGATTGATTGGAGGCAAATTTTCAAAGACACTGATGAGCAACTTTTGTGCATCACATTCTCACGAGGTACTTGTTATACTTCTTATTTGATAGATGAGGTATTTATTATAGTCGAGTATTATGATGTGTCTCTCCCCAACCCTATGAGTAAATGCCCTTTTCCGCTCCTCTGTTTAACGTGGACAGCAAAATTTTGTGAACGCAAATTGTTTGAGTTGAGGTTTAGGTCTTCCTTCCCTTGTCTCTCCCCTTTATTCTACCTTGGCTTTTTTCAGTTTAGGGCAGAGCCACAGTTAGAGTTCTTTTTTTTTTCTTTTTAAAGTTATTTTTTTGGGCCAGTTTAATCTCACAGGGATTTAATTACATCTGGAAGGGAGAGAACGAAATAGGAGTTCCATCCCATTTCTCCCAGGTACCTATACCCCAAAATACGTTGAGATTGCTACTTTTGCCGGTTTCATGTCGGAAATTGGCTTAGGAGACTGCCGTTGCCCATACGGTCATTTAGATGCCAATAGAGTCCAGACTATGAAGACGACGTGTTGTTTAATCATTTAATGTGTATCCAAAATTTTAACGTGTTATTATATGCGACCTCTATCATTTTTTTTTAAATTTTATAATACTATTTAATTTGTTGTCTGTTTTACTTTAGGCTCAGTTTGGAAGGAGTACAAATACAAATATGCACAGTGCAAATACATACAAAATACATAGGCTCAGTTTGGAAGGAATACAAATACAAATTTGAGAGTGCAAAACCTTGTATTGTGTTATTTTGTATATAATTGTATTATTTAATTTGTTGTCAGTTTTTCTTTAAGCTCAGTCTGGAAGCAGTACAAATACAAATATGTACAATGTAAAATTTTGTATTTTGTATTATTTTGTATTTATTTGTACTATACATATTTGTATTTGTACTCCAAACTGGACCTTCCTCAGTTTGGGAGTACAAATACAAATTTTAGAGTATAAAACATTACATTTTATATTATTTTGTATGTATTTGTACTTTCAAACTGAGCCTTACGATCATACATTATGGTTGCAAACTTGCAATTGACCAGCTGACTTGCATCAAACGGTTCAACCAGTTGGTTCAGCTAATTATTCTGGGTTTAATGTATGATGGCGGCCCGGGTTCAGATGTCACTGCTGATACCATCATACCATCTGATCATGGATAACGCTCATGGTTGGAGCTGCCCAGATGCGTTGCTAACTTCTAAGATTACACTCGTGTCCCGTCATGCAGGGAGAAACATCTCTCCATTTGGGTAAAAGATTGAATACACGACGCCGGAAGGACATGATACCAGAAAAAAACAATCAATTGGCACCATAAAAGTGGCAACCAATCGGATGGTATTTTTTTTTATCGAAATTGATGGAGGTTTTGACTTGTCAAAAAACTTCCGGAGTCATCTCTTTTGTTTTTGCATTATGGGTTTTCTCTATAAATGCCTATCCAAAATTATATTTTTAGGGTCATTTACTTAGGCACCCTCTTTAGTTTTACTTACCGAAACATCCCCGATAGTTTGTTCATTACTAAGACACTCATAGTTTGCAGCTACTAATTCTATCTATTTGTTGACATTAACATATATTTCTGTCTAAAAACGGTCATCTAACCAGGGCATTGTCTATAATTTTTTATATAAAAATATCCCTAATAATCCAAAAATTAGATTTTTGTTGTATAATCCCTGGTATCACGGCCATTGTCATTTTGGTGGTTGGGATCACCAGAGGATTTTATTTTTTATTTGAATTAAAATGAAAGCACGGTGGAGTTACAGAGCCATTGGCCGAATGACGAAGATAGAAAGCCCTTCATTTTTTGAGACTCGTCTCCTTGATTCTTGCAATTGGGGCAACACAAAACTTGTTCCCATTGGCCGTTTACAAAAACAGAGCCAAGATTGGAAGATATCAGAACTCAGGAGCCCCATAAAAGAATAAGCACTGCCCTACAAATATATCACTTTTCTGTGCAGAGAAAGCATAGAAGAAAATAAGATAGAGCTTATTTAGATCGTTTATTTTTTCATCCCCTAAACACAATGGAATGGGGAGTAAAAAATTAGGATAAACAAAATGGCCGTAGGCATTCACACCATTCTACTTGGAAAACCAAAGAGTCGCAAACCAATGAAGGTTCTTTAAGGAGAAAATATCTTTCAGTCTATTGAGAAATTAGAATTATGAATTACACATCTTCAGTCTAGAGAAGTGGTGGTGGGGGGATGAGTTAGAAGGATTTTTGAAAATTAGTATAATTGTCAAGATAATTTTCAGAGCATCTGAAAAATCCTGCATTTTATCATTTTATGGTGATTTTGTTGGGATGCAAATGGTGCGTGGGATGCTGTTTTTAGTTGCTCCGGAATGCAGATTTGCTTGACTCTATAGGAATTTTTCTTAGAGCCTTTAAGTTCATGGAAGGAGATTGACCTTTTTGTAAATGGAGTTTCTCTGGAAGCAACGCTTGCTAGAGGTTGAAGCTGATAGACCCAAACCTTGGTATATCATCTTGCAAGGGTCTTTTAGATATATGATCAGTGATCACATTAGGTTGGGCCGGACCAACCCATCATGTGTCAGGCTGTCAGCTGCTAGACTATTGGTTGCCCGATTTTTATAATAGGCAAACTTGGTATTTTAGTTCTTCCTTTTCATTTAATTGATCAAACATATTTGAGGGCTAGAAATGTCATTAAGTACTTCGGTTTTGACAGACAAAGCATTTTGTAAAACGGGAGCAAACTAGCAGGCGTGTCTTAATAATGTCTTAGTAATCATAGAATAAAAAAAGTTTTATCAAGAGTCATCAAAATTCCGGCAGAGAGGAATAATGACCTTTACTTGGGAACTAAAGTTTTTAATACTAAATTCAATAACCTTTGAATTCCTCAAGGAGAAAAGTAATGAAAAGCTTAAGGGATAGAAGAAGAACTCTCCTTGTCTGGAAGAATCAATCTCATAAATTCATCAATTAGCATGATGATTCCTAAGAGTGTGATTGGTGGCATCAATAAATATCAAAGACAATTATAATAGTGAGAGGAAGTCCCTCTACTTAGTTAAGGTGGAATGAGAAGCAGGCAATGGAGAAAAAATAAATTTTTGGAATGATGTTTGGACCGATGATACCCCAACAAGTTGTGTGATTAGGGAAGCCATATCTAATGAAAACTTGAAAGTGAGTGATGTGATAGATATAGAAAGAAGGGTGTGGAAAGAACAAGTAATAAGGAGCTTGATTCCACACCAAGTATGGGAAAAGAAAAGGACAATTTTCATTTCTTCGGCTCCTAAAGAAGATAGATTAATATGGAGACCAAATAAGGATGGGGAGTTCTCAATTAAAACTGCCTATTTAAAGGCAAGTACTTTAGATAGTGTTCCTCCTAGGGGACCTAATGAGATTGCAAAAGTATGGAATCTAAACACCCCCCACCCCCCCCAAATACAAGACCTTTATGTACCTCCTCTTTAATGAACTACCATCGAAAATGAACCTACTTAGTAGAGGAATGAAGATTGATGGGTCTTGTAGTATTTGCGGTGAAAGTGAGGAAGATCTGAACCACATTTTTGTCAATTGCAACCATGCAAAACAAATTTGGTTGATTACCCAAAGTACATTTAAGTTCAAGTGAATTAATTTTCTCAGTTCAAGAGATGTGGAAAAAGTTGAATGATAATGATGCAAATATTTGTCAAAATTCAGATATTAAGGAAAAATTTGTAATTTTACTTTGGCATATTTGGAAAATAGAAATGAGAAAACTTTCAAAAAATAAAATCTTACCTCCTTCTATCATTCTTGATAGAGCTCTCAGCTCATTTTGGGAGATTAAATCAGCTCCTAAGGAAAAGAAGAAAAAGGAAAAAAGTTGGATCCCAGTAAGATGGACGAGTCCATGTTTAGATGCTATTAAAATAAATTTTGATGCTTCGTGTGTAAATGCTCACTGCTCTATAGGCTGTGTTGCAAGGGACCATTTGGAAAATATTCTTGACCTAAAAGCCTATAAAATCGGATTTACCACTGTTAACTTAACTGAAGTTTGGGCTGCTTGGGAGGCCCACAATATAGCAAACAATTTCAGAAACAGGTACGTCATTATTGAAGGTGATTCAAATCTCGTCATCAACTACCTCAATGACAAAACCAAACCACTGTAGAGATTAAAGCCTATCATTGAAGACTGTAGGGCCATGAGATAGCTTGGAAGGATATCAACATGCTTTCAATGAAGCAAATATAGCTGCAGACTGGTTAGCAAACAAAGCTCATGAAGTTTCTGTTTTGAATGGGTTGATTCCGAGACCTTTAACGTTAATTTCGTGCTTAGATTTGTGGGGAAGTGCTACCCCCAGAGCTGTATAGCCCTTTTGTTATTTTCCCGTTTTATCAAAAAAAGAAAAAAGAAAAAAGAAAAACTATAGGGGGTATTTTAGTTAATATGGTATAATATAGGGGGTGTCTTAATAAATGACCCTTTTATATTCATTAAACCTATCTTAGATGGCTACAGGTATAAAGTGTTATCTAAGACAGATCAAGTTCCAAATATCAGTATCATCATTATCGTGTATCTGTCGATGAGTTTGATATCATATGGTGTCTGTAAATTTCAAAATATTAACACAATGTCTGATTCGGTTATTCAAATGGTATACTATATACCCACTAATCCCAACATCGATCAATAGAGTTTTTTTCCTCTTTTCTTTTATATATGATTCAACAAAAATGAACATGAACTGAACATTAACAGAGAACTAAATTAGCCAATTTACAATCCGCAGGATAATAGAGAACCCATTTTTTTTTTAAGGTAAACCCCCAAGTTGGCACAACATCCACAACCAATAGGTGGCAAAGC